AGTTGAACGCCGTGGTTTGTGTGTATATTTGAACCTTGTCAGTTGAACGCCGTGGTTTGTGTGTATATTTGAACCTTGTCAGTTGAACGCCGTGGTTTGCTCTACATTTGAACCTCGTTAGGCAGAACATTTCGATTTGCGTGCTTTTTGTAGCTTCGTTAGTTCAGTTACTTTGGTTTCTGAAATATATAATGATTAACCACAAAATAACATCTGGTTTTTTTGAATTGTTATTATAAAAATAAACTAAAGAAAGAAGATATTCAAAATATTGGAGTTGAAACAATTAAACATACAAATGAAATGGACAATGACTCACATTTCATTTTAGAGGTATAGATCTATCAGAACTGCTAACAATAAACTTCGATTGTAGATTGGCAGGATTGGAAGAAGCCCCTGATAAAACAGGAAATTGTTGGTCTGAGCCTCGGTTTCACTGCAATGTTTGTCCAGGGCATCATTATATTCCTCCACTTCCTACATCCTAGAAGGGCGGAGGCTGTGGCCCTACTTACGTCCGTCGTGCTTCTGTCGTGTGGAGGTGGTAAGTGTTTAAACGTATAACTTAAAGGTCTTATGTTACGTCATAGCTACCTGCTGCATTTCTAAAAGAACTACGAACATAAGTTTCGTGTATTATATATAAAATGCCAAAAAGCTTAACCAATCAAATCATAAACTGCATTGCATATACCATCACAAAGCTTAAAGCACAAACCATGACATTCCAGCAAATCGAATAACAGCAAACTCGAGCCAATCAAAATGCACTTAACAACAACCTAGATATATGAATCCAGCATGTGTGTTAACTATAGAATATGTTGTAACAGGTGGACTACTGATCAAGACGAGTATGGATTACACAAACAACCGACCTGTCCTCGGATTCAAGGAGACGTCCATACCTACCAATTTTGTGTCCGACATTACAGAAGAGACCGGCGGGAAGGAGGCGGTGGTGGGCGGGGCCGTGTACCTTACCGCCGGCGCCATTGACGTCATACTGATACTTATTACCCTATATAAGTTACCGAACAACGCGGTCACTACTCAGTCCTCAGAGAAATTGAACTGAGAGCGTACAACCTTCAGTGGACGGTTAGAAATACAGTTCAGTCTCACGACTTAGAATAGTACTCGGATTTAAGGTGATTCATGACTCGGACTTCCCACGGTTAAATTTTCCTGAAAATTGATCAATTATTGAACAACATATTAATACGATGTTTTGAGTTTTAAAAAAAAAAAAAAATATGATCAGAAGATGTATGATTGTTTTTGTAAAGAAAGCTTAATTAATGTGTACATTGACACAATTCAACGAATGTCTATAGATAATAGCCATTTTAGGTTAATATTGGTAGCATGCTTTATTATGTAACGAACTATGAGTGTACATATCGTTATATTACTTCAGATAAACACCGTCCTCTCTCCTTTCGGCGCTAAATAACCCAGTATCGTACAGCAATAAATCAGATGGAGCTTATTTGATAACAAAATTACACATTTATGTTAACTTATTATTCTTGTTAGCCAGAGTAGAACCAGTGGGGGAGGGGGGATACATCTGTGATATGGTAGAAAACCTCAGCACCTTGAGTAAAACCATGTGGCCAGGAAGCTGACCATCAAACTTTGCACCTCCAATCGGAGAATTTACCCCAATTAGCCACGATCATCACATAGTATCACCCCTACAGGTGGCATGGTGTGAGGGGAATATTATTACTAATTCAAATTATATATAATCTAAGGTCAGGAAATAATTGTGTTCATACGATAAAATAACGAAAGTGTTTTTAAAGAAAAATTAACCCGTGGGATATATATATTTTATAAATTGTATATGAGAGGGCCTTTGGACCTTTCTTCTGACATGAGTACATGTAATATAATACACTGTACCCTATATTATCATATATGTACAATAGGAATATATCGGACTGAGTATACTTTAGGTGGAACAATACTTCCTGTCTATAAATTCTGTCGTGATATATAGCCCTCTCTTTCTGTTTTTTTTAACGATAAACTAGACATTGTCAGTGTGGGCCTGTAAAACGTATTCAGCTAATGTTTAATTAATATCGTTTTCTCATCTTAACACCACAGTGATAAAAAACCATTATCTAAATTGAAACAAATCAACACCGATTATACAATTAGATATTCTAAAGGTGGGCATGGAACATAACTTCGTTCACATTATATTGTAGTTGCTTTAAAATTATCACGAATAAATTAATTTGTAGTAGATAGGTAGTATATATGCAAGACCACACACTTGTGTTTTTCTAACGAATCAGAAAGCACGAGTTTATTGCGCGGACGAATATATACGTCCGCGCAATAAATAAGTCTTTTCTAACTCGTTAGAAAAACCCAAGTGTGTGGTCTTGCTTTTATCAGATACATTCCGTTTTCGGTAAAGATCGAAACACAGACTTTATAAACTTTGATGTTTTTTGCAAATACCGGGAACTTTTTAGTTCGCCATGACAAGGGGTTCCCATTAAAAAGCAGTTCCGGCTAGTAGGTAAATACAACATTCCGTATTGCACATGTGCAATACAGATCGTTGTATTTTATGGTCTAAAAATTGCTTGTATTACTATAGCAAAATCCAACAGGTTTGTGATAAAATTGTATATTACATGCATATATCTTGGATTATAACGTCACCAACGAGATTGGACTGCACGATACATTGAGCGTCGCTCCAGGTTTACTTGTATATTTTAATTGTGATTAAAACGTTTGTGTAATTTATGCAACTTTAGTTTTCTTATCAATCACGCAAGTACAGTGTAATTCGTGTTTTGGCAATCATGATTTTTTTCCCGAATTAAAATCCAAAACGTAAATCACTTAAGTGTTCTGAATCACTGAACAACAGATATTCCTTCTTAAGGATCCCCGCTCCACTGCCAAAACTGTAACTAAATACTGGAAACTCATATTTCTGGCTTGACTGAAGTTTCGGTAAATTAATTCTGAAAAGAAAAACATACCTTGTGGGACTTTTGTGATAAATAGTAATGACGAAATAAACAAAATATAATCAACAGCAGTGTTCAGAGTGTCAAACGTTACATCGGGGTCAGACCGGGATTCGAACCCGGAACTTCAGATTGCTAAACCATCGCTCTAACCGATTGAGCTATATGTAGCTTGTCAACAGAAGTGACTATAGAGCCCTTTCCCAATATCGCTGCAGTTATATATATAAAAAAAAAGAGTTAAGGGGTGTTAACTGTATAGAGGGGAAACCACAGTAACGTGGGGCAGGAACCCTTACTATACATACATTATATAAAGGTGTGTACATTTACTAGCAGTGTAAGGGTTATCTAGAGGGCTTGACATTGTCTGTGATGGTAGGCGTGTGTTTGACTGTTGGCGTTAAGATCAACTAAATAGAGTTGTCACGTCTAACTACACAGCTTCAGTTTATATCAGGACAGACCTCTGTCATGTATTATAATGGTTCAGTTATACATGCAGTTTGTTATACAATGTACGTAGTTCGAGTAATACTATCTGATTTACATACATGCTAAATACAATGTATCACCAAGCCTACGTATGTTAAACATTCAAGTGAAAGAGATTAAACAGAACATATTACGCCAACACCCTCTACGTATATGTATGTATACAATCATTGGCCTTACAAGGTGTACGGTCGGTCCCTCTCTGTGTACCACACAAGTCCTTTCTTTCAATCTTTTTAATTATGTTCAAAACAACAAACAAATTCCACGGAGGTATCTTTCGTATTATGGTACATTTTTAACGAACTATTTTACTTCACGGCGTATACAGCATTTTTGGGAGAACAAGATAGTGGTTTCTATGTCAAAGTCGAGATCCGCTAGGTGACAAACATCAAACGGAAACCACTAAGGACTCCGTCATCATTTGAATTTGACGTCATGTCATTTGATTGGTTCTTGCTTTCTTTAAAAGTTTGACCGAAAGTCCCGCACAGTTTCCAATTTAAAAACCATCACGTGTACAGATTCTTGCAGGTATTGGTTTATATCAACGTTTCTAGCACAAAATCTGAAGTATTACATGCAAGGTAGCTTTTTTTCATCTCTTTAAATGAATGCATCATACTTAAATGAAATAAAACATGAAACTCATTGATCCATGTACATGTACACACATTCGCGAAAAATTGCAATGCAGGCCTCAAATATCACAACAGCAGTTCTGATTGGATAAATCAAATCACGTGGCCGACACCAAATAAAATGTGTGGCCCAATGCAATACGCACGCCTCCGTGTTCACGCTTACACTTATTTTTCGAGCTCATTAATTGTCGAAGTACTTTTGAAAACCATGTATTCATTGTTGATACTTTTAGCTTTTCTATTTATATATGCCAAGTGTTTTCTCTTGATTCCATCGAAAGAATTTGATAAATTGCGATTCATATGTATAAGCATATCAATTCAGTTTCAGCATAGGAACGGTTTACCTGTATTGCTGCTGGCTGAGTTTTCATAAAAAGCATTAAAACTTGCGTGTCTTTGGAATTTCCAAAAGTAGTTTTACATCACCGCTGTATGTACCCTGGAATACATTGAAATATCAGCGTACTTCTTTGCCTCGGATTTCAATTATTCTATCGTATCAGGAGATAACAATCGATAAACTATATTACGTGTGTTCTAGAGTAAGCTTGTATCACTGTTAACAGATTACGTAGACGACACCATAATCGTAACAGGGTTAATATTATCCAGTAATCGCAATTCAATTCAATTTATTTACTTTAGACCTAACGGTCCATGAGTATACAGGACATATTATACATGAGAGAACAGCACGGTGAACAGTACATGTAGACCTAACGGTCCATGAGTATACAGGACATATTATACATGAGAGAACAGCACGGTGAACAGTACATGTAGACCTAACGGTCCATGAGTATACAGGACATATTATACATGAGAGAACAGCACGGTGAACAGTACATGTAGACCTAACGGTCCATGAGTATACAGGACATATTATACATGAGAGAACAGCACGGTGAACAGTACATGTAGACCTAACGGTCCATGAGTATACAGGACATATTATACATGAGAGAACAGCACGGTGAACAGTACATGTAGACCTAACGGTCCATGAGTATACAGGACATATTATACATGAGAGAACAGCACGGTGAACAGTACATGTAGACCTAACGGTCCATGAGTATACAGGACATATTATACATGAGAGAACAGCACGGTGAACAGTACATGTAGACCTAACGGTCCATGAGTATACAGGACATATTATACATGAGAGAACAGCACGGTGAACAGTACATGTAGACCTAACGGTCCATGAGTATACAGGACATATTATACATGAGAGAACAGCACGGTGAACAGTACATGTAGACCTAACGGTCCATGAGTATACAGGACATATTATACATGAGAGAACAGCACGGTGAACAGTACATGTAGACCTAACGGTCCATGAGTATACAGGACATATTATACATGAGAGAACAGCACGGTGAACAGTACATGTAGACCTAACGGTCCATGAGTATACAGGACATATTATACATGAGAGAACAGCACGGTGAACAGTACATGTAGACCTAACGGTCCATGAGTATACAGGACATATTATACATGAGAGAACAGCACGGTGAACAGTACATGTAGACCTAACGGTCCATGAGTATACAGGACATATTATACATGAGAGAACAGCACGGTGAACAGTACATGTAGACCTAACGGTCCATGAGTATACAGGACATATTATACATGAGAGAACAGCACGGTGAACAGTACATGTAGACCTAACGGTCCATGAGTATACAGGACATATTATACATGAGAGAACAGCACGGTGAACAGTACATGTAGACCTAACGGTCCATGAGTATACAGGACATATTATACATGAGAGAACAGCACGGTGAACAGTACATGTAGACCTAACGGTCCATGAGTATACAGGACATATTATACATGAGAGAACAGCACGGTGAACAGTACATGTAGACCTAACGGTCCATGAGTATACAGGACATATTATACATGAGAGAACAGCACGGTGAACAGTACATGTAGACCTAACGGTCCATGAGTATACAGGACATATTATACATGAGAGAACAGCACGGTGAACAGTACATGTAGACCTAACGGTCCATGAGTATACAGGACATATTATACATGAGAGAACAGCACGGTGAACAGTACATGTAGACCTAACGGTCCATGAGTATACAGGACATATTATACATGAGAGAACAGCACGGTGAACAGTACATGTAGACCTAACGGTCCATGAGTATACAGGACATATTATACATGAGAGAACAGCACGGTGAACAGTACATGTAGACCTAACGGTCCATGAGTATACAGGACATATTATACATGAGAGAACAGCACGGTGAACAGTACATGTAGACCTAACGGTCCATGAGTATACAGGACATATTATACATGAGAGAACAGCACGGTGAACAGTACATGTAGACCTAACGGTCCATGAGTATACAGGACATATTATACATGAGAGAACAGCACGGTGAACAGTACATGTAGACCTAACGGTCCATGAGTATACAGGACATATTATACATGAGAGAACAGCACGGTGAACAGTACATGTAGACCTAACGGTCCATGAGTATACAGGACATATTATACATGAGAGAACAGCACGGTGAACAGTACATGTAGACCTAACGGTCCATGAGTATACAGGACATATTATACATGAGAGAACAGCACGGTGAACAGTACATGTAGACCTAACGGTCCATGAGTATACAGGACATATTATACATGAGAGAACAGCACGGTGAACAGTACATGTAGACCTAACGGTCCATGAGTATACAGGACATATTATACATGAGAGAACAGCACGGTGAACAGTACATGTAGACCTAACGGTCCATGAGTATACAGGACATATTATACATGAGAGAACAGCACGGTGAACAGTACATGTAGACCTAACGGTCCATGAGTATACAGGACATATTATACATGAGAGAACAGCACGGTGAACAGTACATGTAGACCTAACGGTCCATGAGTATACAGGACATATTATACATGAGAGAACAGCACGGTGAACAGTACATGTAGACCTAACGGTCCATGAGTATACAGGACATATTATACATGAGAGAACAGCACGGTGAACAGTACATGTAGACCTAACGGTCCATGAGTATACAGGACATATTATACATGAGAGAACAGCACGGTGAACAGTACATGTAGACCTAACGGTCCATGAGTATACAGGACATATTATACATGAGAGAACAGCACGGTGAACAGTACATGTAGACCTAACGGTCCATGAGTATACAGGACATATTATACATGAGAGAACAGCACGGTGAACAGTACATGTAGACCTAACGGTCCATGAGTATACAGGACATATTATACATGAGAGAACAGCACGGTGAACAGTACATGTAGACCTAACGGTCCATGAGTATACAGGACATATTATACATGAGAGAACAGCACGGTGAACAGTACATGTAGACCTAACGGTCCATGAGTATACAGGACATATTATACATGAGAGAACAGCACGGTGAACAGTACATGTAGACCTAACGGTCCATGAGTATACAGGACATATTATACATGAGAGAACAGCACGGTGAACAGTACATGTAGACCTAACGGTCCATGAGTATACAGGACATATTATACATGAGAGAACAGCACGGTGAACAGTACATGTAGACCTAACGG